CTCTTGTTAGGCACTGCCCCAAGGGGGTGTGTCAAACGTATCTTAGTAAGCTACTGTAGACTATACAGGTTCGTACCTTAGTGGGTACAACTTTCTAGCTTATATTACCTTGTACCCTCCTATTCTTATCATTATTCAGTTGTAAGAGTGCTGGCATAGCCTTTGGCTTCAGCTGCCATTGCCAAGCCAACCATGTGTGTCTCAATGCCTGTCACGCCACCTCTCGCTTGCACACTCTGGTCGCTCCAGATACTTGCTTCCCCATGCATGCCCCCCCGACCCCTTCCCCCCCTCACACCTCTGCATTCTTAGGCTCTTGGCCCCGCCCGAGAATGCCCTTCTCTGCTTATGAAATGCTGTCTGCAAGCACTGCAGCTGGTGCCACAGCAGGGGCGGGAGGAATGCCAAGTGTCGTGATTGCAGCAGGGGAGGGGGACAGCTGTTGAGCCAAGACCAAAAGGGAGACACATAGGTGCGGGGCGGGGTGGAGAAGCGAGGCGTGGAGAAGGGGAGTGGTGTGCAGTTTCAGGGGTGTATGGAGGTTTGGCAGCAGGAGGTTAGGGGAGGCAGCAGGGAAGAGAGACGTGGTGACAGGGGGAGGAAGGGGAAAGTGGTTGAGAGACGGGGAATACGGATGACACAACTGGCGAGGGCATGGAAGTGAAGGTGGCATGGCACGGCAAAGGGTAGAGGATAGGGAAAAGGCTTGATAGGGAAGATAGGGAAGGGAGGGAGGATAGAGGAAAGGATGGGAGAGGAGAGAAAGGTAGAGCAAAAGTCTTTGCATCGACGACAAGGGGACATGGCACAGGAGAGAATGGGGGGACAGCAGAGAGGGTGGGGGCAGGAGAGAGCAGGGGGACAGCAGCAGGGGGACAGCAGAGAGCAGGGGGACAGCAGGGGGGCAGCAGAGAGCAGGGGGGCAGCAGGGGGACAGCAGAGAGCAGGGGACAGCAGGGGGACAGCAGAGAGCAGGGGGACAGCAGGGGGACAGCAGAGAGCAGGGGGACAGGAGAGAGCAGGGGGACAGCAGGGGGGCAGCAGGGGGGTAGCAGAGAGCAGGGAGACAGCAGGGGAACAGCAGAGAGCAGGGGGACAGCAGAGAGCAGGGGGACAGCAGGGGGGCAGCAGAGAGCAGGGGGGCAGCAGAGAGCAGGGGGGCAGCAGAGAGCAGGGGGGCAGCAGAGAGCAGGGGGGCAGCAGAGAGCAGGGGGCAGCAGGATCACAGCGTTCCCACTCTCCTTGCTCTTTGCTCACCCTCGCATCCGACTCCCGGCCCTCTCATCCATTCCGCACCCTCTCCCACTCCTCTCCTCGCGCTCGACTACCCCTCATCCACTTGGGTCCTCCTCACGAAACTCCGTTCCCCTCTCCTCGCCATCCCTTCCCCCTCTCCTCGCCATCCCTTCCCCCTCTTCTCGCCATCCCTTCCCCCTCTCCTCGCCATCCCTTCCCCCTCTCTTCCTCCGCTCCGCGCTATCCCTTCCCCCTCTCCTCGCCATCCGTTCCCCCTCTCCTCGTGATCCCTTCCCCCTCTCCTCGCTATCCCTTCCCCCTCTCCTCGCGATCCCTTCCCCCTCTCCTCGCTATCCCTTCCCCCTCTTCTCTCCATCCATTCCCCCTCTCCTCGCTATCCCTTTCCCCTCTCCTCGCTATCCCTTCCCCCTCTCCTCGCCATCCGTTCCCCCTCTCCTCGCCATCCCTTCCCCCTCTCCTTGCCATCCGTTCCCCCTCTCCTCGCTATCCCTTCCCCCTCTCCTCGCCATCCGTTCCCCCTCTTCTTGCTTTTTCTTCCCCTCTCCTTGCTATCTGTTCCCCCTCTCCTCGCTATCCGCGCCCTCCTCTCCTCGCTATCCGTGCCGTCCTCTCCTCGCTATCCGCACCCTCCTCGTAGGAGTGTTTGGTGCGGGGGGTCGTTTTGGCTTAGCCAACAAGTGGTCGGGCCTAGGCTAGATGTCGCGTTTCGTCACGACGTCTAATGGCGGGTCTTACCGTGGCTTCACTTCGCAAACTACGGCAGGCACTGTGTCATATTTGTCAATCCTAGGTCGTTCCTCTGCGGGGGCGGTACTACGCCTGAGGTCGCCTTTTCAAAAAGGGATAAAACCTTTTCCCCGTAGTGGGGGGAGTTGTACGTCGATGCGCCGGCGGATCTTTTTAAATGACCTATGTAGTGGCAGCTAAGGCTTCCTAAGCTTGATTGACTACGAGGTAATCTGCTACTGGAAACATGAGGCACACCCATGGTGCACTTGAACGACGAGTTCCTAGGTTGAAGTCGCACTCGACCATTTGGTTGAGTGGTGCGACTTTTGTGCTTGTCGCACCATGTTCTGTCGAAGTCGTGTACTCGCAAGGTGTGTCGGATCCCTCCCAAATTGTTGCAAAACGCTTCTTTTCATTTCGTTTGGTACAAGGTGCTCCAGTACCTGTTGTTTATTCTGACCCCCAAAAGATTTCAAGAGCACCCAAGGTGTGCTTCTTTAGCCGGTGGTTTTAAGGTAACCCTGATTGCTAAGCAAGAATGTTTCAAGGAACCCTGAAAATTCAGTCAAGTTTTGGGGGAGGCCCTGAAAAATCAGACTAAACAAAGGAGGGGGGGCCTGAGCAATCAGGGTGCCTTGGAACCAATCTTAGGCCCTGGACCTAACCTAGAGTGATACCATCTCAGAATAATGCAATAAACTATAATGACTGATACAGGGTGGTTTTGTCTTGAGTTGTACTCTCTATGAGCATGCACATATCTAGCCTATAATATATACAAATATATATTGACAGTACACTGCTATAACGGGGTTGCCGCGTAGCTCTGCCACGAAATTCAAATCCCGGTTCCAAATATGGTCTCTGTCGTGGCACTGGGATAACCCTGTCGATCCTCTCTCTATCTCTAGGGAGGGTACTTGGGAGGCTTTCCTCGGGAAATGTGGATATATGTAGCCTAACCCTCCTTATGACATCCCTTCTTCTCCCAGTGGTTAGGACTGGTGACTTTGTGACATGGTATCAGAGCCATCCGGGGTTCAATTCTTGGTGTACACGCTATCCCAGTGGGGGGGTGTGTCGTGGCACTGGGATAACCCTGTCGATCCTCTCTCTATCCCTAGGGAGGGTACTGGGGAGGCTTTCCTCAGGGAAGGTGGATATTGTTAAACTAAGCTAGGTAGGAGGGAAGCCATGGAATGGCGTGAGATTTAGGAAGGAGAAAGTTGACGAGAGAAAAGAGGAGAGACTAGGAACGAGAGGCATACAAGGAGGGAGTTGTACCCCCTACAGTAGAGTTTGGTAACCTACCAAGCCTATCAATTTTATAATACAATATATAATTAAACACACCCCTTAGGCTTGGTAGTCGCAAGCCCCTTACACCCCCATGCTCGAGATCAGCCGGGTATCTACCCCTCGGGCTTGGCATGGTGACATCCCCCGGCGAGAGGCAGCGCGGGCAACGGCCATGGCTGAAGGCTCTCGGCGGTGTGGCACGGCGAGGCGACGACTGAGTAGAAGACAGCAGCTGCGGCAGGAGGAAGAGGAGACGCAGGGGAAGGGGGGGGCGGGAGGGGGGGCGAATCTTCAGCGACGCGCCATGGGTGGCGTGGCGCTTACTGGCGGGAGAGGGCGAATCTTCAACGAGGCACCATGGCTGGCGTGACGCTTACTGGTGTGAGAGGGCGAATCTTCACCGAGGCACCATGGCTGGCGCGACGCTTACAGGCGTGAGGGCGTTACGACTGGCGCCTAGGACAGGGCGCTGGCTGCAGCTGTACGTGCGCTGGCGTGGCGAAGCCGCCACGTCAGCACGACGGCACGGCAGCACGTCGACCCAGCCGTACGGCGGCGTGGCGGCACCGTGGCACGGCGGCATGGCGGGACGGCGGCACTGAGGCACTGAGGCACGGCGACGTGACGGGGATGGCGCGGCGTGACGGGGATGGCGCGGCGTGACGGGGCCAGAGCGGGGTGACGGGGCCAGCGCGGCGTGACGGGGCCAGCGCAGAGGGACGGGGCCGACGCGGAGTGACGGGGCCGGCGCGGCGTGACGGGGGGGGGGGGGGGGGGGAGGGGAGTACGCTGCGGAAGTGTGAGGAGAAGGCCCGAGCGAAAGGGGCCTGCTCTGAAACCATATTAAACTAAGCCAGGTAGGAGGGAAGCCATGGAATGGCATGAGATTTAGGAAGGAGAAAGTTGACGAGAGAAAAGAGGAGAGACTAGGAAGAGAGAGGCATACAACGAGGGAGTTGTACCCCCTACAGTGGAGTTCGATAACCTACCAAGCCTACCAATTATATAACACAATATATAATTTAACGGATATATGGAGCCTAACCCTCTTGATGACATCCCTTCTTGTCCCAGTGGTTATGACTGGTGGCTTTGTGACAGTCTCCTGACGAACCGCATACATTGTTCCCCGCCTTGTTGTTGCATGCTTAGACCTGGGTGCTCCTCGCAATTTTACGAACCACACGTCGCAGCCATACCGAGCCACGATCGTGTGCTCTTAGGATAGCTATATCCATGCTTTCTGCTGTTTTTATGTCGCCTCAGTTGTATTGTTTCCTCGTTAATCAATCATTCGACACACACTCTTTGCGCCTCATTACAAATATCAAGGCTTAGAGCTGTATGAGGTTTTGAGTGTACTGGTTGTTATGAGGCATAAGAGCACCCTCCCTGACCCCAGTGCAGGTCAATCACGCTCCAGCTTGGCGTCAGATCTGCTGGAAACTAGTGGTGGTGAACAGCTCTCCTCTCCTCACATCGAGGTGATCGCAGGGATCGTACATCGACTGAATGCGACAGATCACGAACTCCGTCCTTTGGCCCACTACACTCCGTGGGGGGGCCTAGCGACAGCGTAACTGGCCAATCACACGACATATTGGCGCGAGAACTCTGATTTCTGGAGACCGTTCATTGCAAGCCCTTTCCATTCCCCTCCGTCAATTTCCATGTCGCACACTGGTGTTTCTGACGGCTAGCCTTCGCTCGAGATTGGTTTCGATGAAGCTTATAGGAGGACCAGCAGTGGTAGTATTTTTTCCATAACGGAAGAATCAGGATTCAGGAGGACTTGGCGAAAGACCGAGCTTCCTAGTTTCCTAGCTCCCATCCACGCTTCGTAGTTACTCTGTTAGTGACAGCTGGAAGCGTTGCTACTTGATTGAAAAGAGGTTTTCGCGTCGCTGTGTTTCTGTCAGCTCGTATATAGCGATAAAGTCGTGAGCAGAAGCAGAAGTTGATCTGTGCTTCGCATTCAGTCATGGCCGAGACTACGCCCAAGATTTTTACTCTAGAGGAGGTGTCGAAACACAACACGGAGAAGGATTGCTGGCTGATCGTCTCAGGCAAGGTGAGGTAACGGTGGTCTGGCAGTCTTCTTAGTTCTACTTGAAATGGAGCGAATCTGGACACGCTGGATGATTCATAACCGCGGTTTTCTTACAGAAGATCATGGTGCTGGTTGTACGCAGGTCTATGACGTCACTAAGTTTATGGATGATCATCCAGGCGGATCTGATGTGATGGTCTCGTCGACTGGTGAGCCCTAGTCTGTTGCATGTCTGCAGCTGTTTATAATCTCATTTTCCCCATGGCGTGACACTGCATTGTTTCGATCCGATCCACTGACGTATATATGTCTCGTCTACAGGCAAAGACGCGACTGACGATTTTGAGGACATTGGACATAGTAAGACCGCGAGAGACATGCTTGCACAGTACTATGTCGGCGAGATTGACGAGTCAACGTTACCAGCGAAGGCGACAGGGGATGCGAGCGGCGGCGGAGGAAGCCAGGAGAAGACGTCAACTCTGAAGTTGTTGCTGCAGTTTTTAATACCCGTGCTGATGGTGGTGCTGGCACTTGCAGTCAGATCGTACACACAGGTTCCCAAGGTCGACAGCTAGCTTGAAACGATTCTATGTCCATTCAAACCATAATAATCGATCGGTTGTTATGCGAGGGAGTCTACATCGGCTCACGATCTGCTCACATCCATCGAACTTCTTGAGTTCCACCTGTCGCAAACACAGAGTTCTCCCCTCCCCCTACTGCTCCCATACCTTCTTCGCATGCCTCTTCACTTCATCCTCCACCTCGTCCTCGTCGTCGTCCTCTTACTCTCCTGATCTTCCCCCTATCCCCTTACCTTCCCCCACTCCCTCGCTCCCTTCATCGCCCGATCTCACGCTGTGTTGCGGGGAAGGTAGTGCTCTCCATGCCTACCTGATCCTCTGCTTCGCCTCCATTTCACGTCTACCTTCCATCCGCTCCGTGGGAGGATCCGTTTGTCAGAAACCCAGTCACTAACCACTGGGTTAAAAAGGCTTGTTGAATAGCGGGTAAGCGCGCCCATAGCCCCCCAGGCTCTGCACCTGTGGCCCTTCCCCGAGGATCTCAAGGTCAACCCCAGCGGGTCACTCAACACCCCCCCCCCCCCCGCTGGGATAGGTGGAAGACACAAGCGCCTCTGCAGCGCTGGCACTGGGAGTTGAACCCAAGACCTTTGGCTCTGATACCATGTCAGAAACCCAGTCACTAACCACTGGGTTAAAAGGGCTTGTTGAATAGCGGGTAAGTGCGCCCATAGCCCCCCAGGCTCTGCACCTGTGGCCCTTCCCCGAGGATCTCAAGGTCAACCCCAGCGGGTCACTCAACACCGTTACCTGTCGCACACTTGTCAGAATCCCTCCCAGCTCTTCCTGGTTTGTTGACATTCATCCAGGCTTGAACCTTCAGCTGCAGATTGTGAAGTGGATGGGACAGAACAGCAAGACTCTGGGTTGGGACAAATTATTTTACGCTCAATTGAACCCGTTTCCACAATGTCATCATTGTTGGGCTGAGAAAAAGCCCTTAGGATCTTTTGCAGAGACTAAGTCCCAGCTTGTAGAGACTTGAGACTTTGAGTAGTGCAGCGGAAGTTGAGACGGTTGAACCCTTGTACTAGTATGTGAGAACAAGTGATTGATTAAAGAAACAAGCATACAGCAATATATAGAAGATAAGAAAGCAGTTGTAGAATACAGTTACAGGAACGGTTTATCGAGTCGCACAGCGACTCGATTGCCGCTTCGGTTACCATCCGTGATGTTGTAACGGTCAGTCGCAACCTCCAGTTGCGACCTTTCGAGTCCTTTCGCATTCTTTGTCCGCCCCCTCGTGTAACCTCCGTTGACTCGCGTGCTCCCCTGTAATCTTCCTCGAGTACAGTGTTACACTTCAGAAACGCTTAAGTCCTTGAGATATTTCCAACAATCATAAACAGGGCTGATTTTATCAGACTATTTACTCTGATTAGTCTGAAATCTCAGACCGGTTTTTTTGCCAAACCTGAATTTCCAGATAAGGCATTTTCTAAATCCTGATTGATTCAGACTAAGAGTTTGGGGTGTCAAACATGTGTATTTGTCATGTTTGTATAGACTGTATAGAGTCACCTCTTAGAGGATACAAAACTTAGATATATTTGTGTGTACTCTCACTTTACCATTATTCAATTATTCTGATATGGTATCACGCGTAGGTAGGATCCCCCCCCCCCAACCTACCGCTTCCGCTCATGCCCCCTAGCGCCCCTCCTGGGCCCCGTCGCGCTCCTCCCAGGCCCCGTCGCGCTCCTCCCAGGCCCCCTAGCGCCCCTCCTGGGCCCCATCGCGCTCCTCCCAGGCCCCGTAGCGCCCCTCCTGGGCTTCGTAGCGCCCCTGCCAGGCCCCGTCGCGCCCCTTCTGGGCTTCGTAGCGCCCCTGCCAGGCCCCGTCGCGCCCCTCCCAGGCCCCGTCGCGCTCCTCCCAGGCCCACTAGCGCCCCTCCTGGGCCCCGTCGCGCTCCTCCCAGGTCCCGTAGCGCCCCGTCGCGCCCCTCCTGGGCCCCGTAGCGCCCCTCCTGGGCCTCGTCGCGCCCCTCCTGGGCTTCGTAGCGCCCCTCCTGGGCCCTGTACCGCCCTCCCAGGCCCCGTCGCGCCCCTCCCAGTCCCTCTAGCGCCCCTCCTGGGCCCCGTCGCGCTCCTCCCAGGCCCCGTAGCGCCCCGTCGCGCCCCTCCTGGGCCCCGTAGCGCCCCTCCTGGGCCTCGTCGCGCCCCCTCCTGGGCTTCGTAGCGCCCCTCCTGGGCCCTGTAACGCCCTCCCAGGCCCCGTCGCGCCCCTCCCAGGCCCCGTCGCGCTCCTCCCAGGCCCCCTAGCGCCCCTCCTGGGCCCCGTTGCGCTCCTCCCAGGCCTCGTAGCGCCCCTCCTGGGCTCTTTCGCACCCCTCCTGGGCTCCGTAGCGCCCCTCCTGGGCCCCGTCGCGCCCCTCCTGTGCCCCGTAGCGCCCCTCCTGGGCCCCGTCGCGCCCTCCTTGGGCCCTGTAGCGCCCCTCCTGGGCCCCGTCGCGCCCCTCCCAGGCCCCGTCGCGCCCCTCCCAGGCCCCGTAGCGCCCCTCCTGGGCCTCGTCGCGCCCCTCCTGGGCTTCGTAGCGCCTCTCCTGGGCCCCCCGTCGTGCCCCTCCTGGGCCCCGTAGCGCCCCTCCTCGGCCGCGTCGTACCCGTCGCCGCCGCCCGGCCCCGTCGTGCCCGCCCGGCGCCGTCGCGCCCGCCCGACCCCGTCGCCGCCGCCCGGCCCCGTCGCGCCCGCCCGGCGCCGTCGCCGCCGCCCGGCCCCGTCGCGCCCGCCCGGCGCCGTCGCACCCTGCCCGGCCCGTCGCGCTCGCCCGGCCCCGTCGCAGCCGCCCGGCCCCGTCGCACCCGCCCGGCCCCGTCGCACCCTGCCCGGCCCCGTCACAGCCGCCCGGCCCGGCCGCCGTCCCGCTCGCCCGGCCCCGTCGCACCGGCCCGGCCCTGCCGCACTCGCCCGGCCCCGTCGCCCCAGCCCGGCCCCGTCGCGCCCGCTCGGCCCCGTCGCCCCGTCCCGGCCCTGTCGCATCAGCCGGGCCCCGTCGCGCCCGCCCGGCCCCGTCGGGCCAGCCCCGGCCCCGTCCTCCTCACTGGTACGGTTCCCACCCCCCCCCCCCCCCCCCCCCCCACCCCGCCCTGCTCCGTGCCGCCCTGCACCGCACTGCACCGCACTGCACCGCACTGCACCGCACTGCACCGCACAGTACCGGCACAGTACCGCACTGCACCGCACTGCACCGCACTGTATCGCACTGCACCGCACCCCACCTAGCTGCACCGCCCTGCACAGCACTGGACTGTTCCTGATGGCGGCGGAGCTTTGCTTCGACGCTGAAGGTCAGCCCCTAGAGTTCGAGGCGTGGCTTGCCGACCTCCGCCGCCAACTCACTGGCCAGCGGCAGGATGGTGAACCGCTTTCCGCACACCTTGACGGTACGCTCCCCTGCCCAGACCCTCCTGCTATTCTGCCCGCTGACCCCACACCCACTGAGCGTGAGTCTACTGCTGCCACTGCCCGTGCGCGCTCAGTCTGGCTTTCTCGCGATGCTGTCGCCCAGCTTGCCATTAGCAACGCCCTCCCCCCGTCCTAAACATGGTAGAGTGAGAGCACACACAGATATACCTAAGTGTTGTACCCTCTAAGAGGTGACCCTATACAGTCTATACAAACATGACAAATACACATGTTTGACACACCCCCTAGACTGCATAGGGGAATGTCCTAAACAAGCAGCTCAGGGCGGCACTACTAGTCCAACCTCTGAGACAAGGGTCTGAGAGACCAGTCAGAAGGGGTACAGACAAGGCAAGAACAAGAGCAGGGCGGCACTACTAGTCCAGCCACTGGAAGAGGACACAAGTCCAGTCTGAGTATACATATAAAGGACAGTACAAAGTCAAGGTCCTAGCAAGTGAGAGGCTACAGGAACTAGACCAAGCTGTACACAGTGCCGCTGATGATCTTTAGGCGCAAGTGCCTTCGTAAAGATTGTTGTGATATAATTAGTACTTAGCATTTCTGTAAGTCGATGAAGTGTAGTTAGTGTCGAATCCTACTGTAGAATATAAGTCCGTAGGATGACGTCAGCAAATAGCGCTCGTCATAGGACAGTTGTTTCAGTCACGCGAATAGTCGCACCTCTTCATTATCATCTAGGGCGCATAGCTCGATAGTGACGAACAGGTACTTTTTCGTAAAACTATAAATTCTTGTTAGATCTTTGTCAATATCAACTTTGATTACACAAGTTCACGTACTCAGGTTATTCAACCTTGACTATTACATTTTACAAGACTTCCGCTGTCTTTCTAGTCTACTATTCCAGCAAAGATCCTGGACCAACACTTGAGGATTTGCCAAGTGTTCGTGTTTATAGTTTTATACTTAGTCTATTACAACACCAGACGATTTATTTCATGGTAAGAGAGCTATCTGGAATTAAGACTACCGTCAACTATGACTGGTCCATCACCAGCACCATCTGCTGGATCAGTTACTGGAACTACTGGAGCACATGCCTCCACTACCGCCGCTGGTCTCTCAGCCTCTGGGCATTTTCCACCAGCCTACGCTAATATCGGTATGCAGAATCCGCCTTCTGTGAATACTCCAGGTGCTCCATCGACTGCACCTGCAACACAACAGCAGCAATCACAAACAACAGCACAGCAAGAAGCGTCAGTCCAGCCACCAGTTTCAACACAATCGATTTCGTCTGCATTCAGTGGAATGAGCCTTGATGGCTCAAGTTACTTACGTGGAGCTACAGCTCCAAGTACTGGTTCGTTCGCTTTCTCACCTTTCGTACAGCAGCCGCAGTCGCAGCAGTTTCAGCATCCTTTTTATATCTTCGGTCGTTCTCCTGCTCAACAACAACAGCAACAGTATCAGCAACAACAACCAGTACAGCAGCAACAACAACCGCAGCAGCAACAACAACAACAACCGCAGCAGCAACAACAGCAACAGCCAGGCATCGTTTTTCAACCTCCAAACTTACTTAACAATACTCAAATCAAGACAACCGTACCTTTCAATGGTGTTGATTTCTACTCCTGGAGCTTCGAGTTCGAGCTTCTGGCGCAGTCCGCTGGATTATGGCCGTTCTTCACTGGCGAGTTTA